TCAAATCTCGTAACAGCTAAAGTAATATACAACAGACATGTGCAAGAACACCCTCAGTTCAAGACAAGAATGTGGAAATATTCTGAAAATCGAAATGAGAAGAATCATTTCTACTAGATCATTTTTCACTGTAAATGCGATCTACAACACTAAGCATTTTTTCACAATGCAATGAAATATTACTTTTCATATTTGATTAACATCAAATTATTTTTAAATGAAAATCATCAATTCAGCAGTAGCTAACCACAAACTTACAGATTTATTTATATTTTGTATAAGTAACTGATATACTTTAAGAAACAAAAACACCCCTAAAGTATGTTTTCTGCAAAATGAAACTGTTAGTCTAATCAGATTTGAACATGGAACCGTCAAATCAGAATGCAAATGAACAACACACCATGAAAAAATAAAAGAAATACCTGCTTCCGTCATACTTGTAGCCTCACCAAAGCAGCACAAATAGAGCGACAATGTGGATAATGATACTGAAGAGTGCTTTTCGCCCGTTAACTAAAGTTATTAGAATGTGTATACTTTACACACAATAATTACATATTCTTTTTAGAATCTATACATTTTGGTACCCACTTCCAATTGCTCTTTGTACAAATTCAATGTTGACATTTTGAAGCACATAGCTGTACAGTTAAATTGAGTATTTGTGCAAATACAACATATGGATTAAAAATCATGCCAACATCAGGGCTTGTATTCATACATCTGACCGTCGCTGTCTGCCAGCAAACATAGATGTCCGACCGCTGAAATATAGACTTTATTTTTACCTTCAAATTAACAGGCAGATACTTGGCATAAGTAACTGTAATTAGTGGCAGGCAGAGGAAAGCCACATTATGGACAAATACAAGAAAACTGTAAATGACTGGAATTATGAAGCCAGCTTTGCACTTACATCATTTGCAGTTTCAAACTTATGAAACCATAAATACTTGATTTTGTTGTAGTTGTAGTGTACTACTTGCAAGATGGGATCACCAATACTGAGAAGAGTTAGTGGTGAGGGGAGGAAGTCTTAATTTCATGTACGAAAGGGGAAAAAGATAGAGAAAAGAGAGAAATTTTTAGATTTTCTGTCTTGGTTAGTTAGATATGTATAACAGATAAAAATGTTAATGACAATTTTTTTATTTATTTATTTTAAATTTGAGCTTCTCAAGGCAGTGAAGATGTTGATGTCCTATGTTGTGTGTGGATAGTATGCTTCTACCTACAACCCAAAACAAAACTGACAAGTTTCTTTTTATTTTTATACTAGTGGTAACTGCCCAATAAAATTCAGAAGGAAATAATCTCTTCTGCAGCTTAATAAAAGCCTGAAACAGTTAAACCATAGACAAAATTTCAACTGATATACCTGAGTGGTCGCCTCATGATATCAGGGTTTCCAGGTTTCTGGGCATTGTTGTTGCCCTGAGGCTTCGTGTGTGCCAAGTTTGGCGCAAAGTTTCCATTAAGAATACCATGATGAGATGATGACACATAACCATTACTTGATGGTTTGGGTGGATAATTATGCTTTAGTTGTGTTGCTGAAGACCCAAGGGAATTTGCGGGATTGCGGTCTCGTCTGAGAGGAAGCACCGGATTCTTTACTTTGACCTTAACGCCTATACCAGGTCCACCAGGTTTGATTTCTCTTGTGCTGCAACAAAAATATAAAACATTCCATAAGTAATTTTCAGTAGTTACGATAACCAATTTTATTTTTATTTACATGATTATTCACATCAGGTGGGCCACTTCAACATAAAGTAATGGTGCTCCAGGGCAATGCATCATTATACTGGGTCTGGCGATAATGCAATAATCTACAATATGGAATTCAGTACAGCATAAACCACAACTATGCCCTGAATCTGACCACTCAGTGTGAGACTGGCTTTAAAATACAATATTACAATTAATCTTTGAAGTGAAGATGAACTAAAATAAGCATGTGTACCTACTCATTCGCTCCCACACACACACAGTGACTACAGTATTAATACAAACAAATGCAGAGCATCTATAAATGAGAGCT